AAGCTATGCCCTTTACAGTGCTATTATAGGCAGTAAGCTAGTTAGCAATGGTATAGGCCGTCACACAGAGTGCGGTCCTGGAAAGAAATCAGCTATACATACAGTACAACTGTGGGTGGAGGCACAGTCTTTAAAGGCCAGACCTCAAAACAGAAGAGAGAATGGCTACACTCATACTTCTTCTAGGGGAGAACATCAGTGATTGATTTTCCTAATAGGTGGGGGCCCAAAACTTTCATGAAGTTGTTGCTTCCATGTACACTTGTTACATGTCTTGCTTCTCTATTTGTTTCCCACTTAATTAACATTATCTAAGCAAATAGACTTGTAATATTATTGGTTCATCATAATTTTGTCCCACCTCAGACTCATCTTGTGATTTCTCATTGAATCAGTGTTACTTAAGTACCATACTCGTAATTTTATTAGTTGATTACATTTTTTTCCCATCTTAGACCTTCCTCACCTTGAGCTTTGCCCTATAAAACTCCTATGTGAAGCTCAGTCCTCAGCATCCCACAGAACCCCTCAGTCTCTCTTAGACAGCTTTCTTTTCTCCAATAAATGTTTTGCCCTTAATCTCTGTTATTCATAGAAGTCATTCTTTGATTTTAGAGAACACGAACTTGGTGTATTGGACATCTAGCAGGGTAACAAGTTGGGAGTTATATTTCCCTTATGTTATTGATTATGTGGAAGTCCAATATATCCCTACATCAGCACTATCTCCTCTTTGAGGGGAATCAGAGCACCCTGGCTCATTAATTTTACATATCCTCATATTGTCTTTCAAGTATTACATCTTTCAGATTATGGAGGAACAGGAATGGATTCACCTGGCTCATAGGGATGTTTTTGGGAAATGTAACAGCATGTGGCTTTTGCTAATAAAAGAGAGAGAGAGAGAGAGAGAGAGAGAGAGAGAGAGAGAGAGAGAGAGACTGAGAGAGACAGAGAGAGAGAGACAGAGCTGAAAAGAAAGAGAAAGGGTCCTCTGAGAGGGTAGAGCTCATGAGGAATTGAATATCAGTCCTCCGGAATACCATCTATGAGTTCTGTAGGCTGAGGTTAGCAAGAGAAATGGAAGGGATAAGAGCAGCTATCTGGAAAACCAGATCTGGGGAGCCCCCTGACCTCACTGCTTTCTAGTGAAGGACCCTCAGACGCGAATGACAATGTCACTTTCCTCTTCCTGCTGTTGCAAGGTATGATAACATTGTAGACAGTTACAAATATTAGACAGGACTGGCCCCTCAGCACAGAAGATAACTGTGGCCAGAGGCACATTCACTGTAGGCCAGGCTTCAAGAGAAAGAGGACAGACTACATGCACATTCTTACCCTAAGGATTAATGGCAATGGTTGATATTCTAAATTGACATCAATCACCTGGGGGGGGGGGGTGGCACCCAAACTTTCCCATCCCATTCCTTCCAGGAAAATCCTTGTTCACTCCCTGTATGTTGGCTTCCTGCCTTGCTTCCCCATTCAATCCTCGCTTAACCACTTCTTCTTCTTCTTTTTTTTTTTTTTTGTGGTACCAGGGATTGAACTCAGGACCCTGCGCTTACCAGGCAAGCGTTTATTCTACTGAGCCATCTCCTTGCCCTCTCCCCCCCGCCCCTGCTTAACCACTATTACCTAAGGGTCTATACTTGTTGACCATAACTTTGTCTTACCTCACACCCATCATGTGACATCTCATTGGACCAATGCTACCTGAACGACTATACTTGTCACTTGTTAGCTTACTATAGCTTTGTTCTATTTTGAAACTGCCTCCCTTCAGGGTTCTGCTCAATAACACACCCTTGAGAAATGGTGTCAGCAGGAAATCTATTTTCCAGAACCCTGTGTGTCTTTTCTAGACAGATGATATCTTTCTCTCAATAAACTCTTCCTACTCTTAACCTCTCTTGTTCCTAGAATTCATTCCTCAATTTTAGAGGACATGAACTCAGTGTTTCAGACATCTAGTGGGTTGGGAGTTAAAATATTTCCCTTATATCATATTTGGAGGTTCTGATATTGATACGTGGTATATGATATAGGCACAATATATGGACCCCCAGATAATACAAGGGAATGTAAGAGTAGGAAGTCATTTATTGAGAGGAGAGAATAGAAAGCTCCCATCACAGGGATAAGAGGGTGCCGAATATGGGTAGCCTGGGGGCCTCACTCTATAGAGAAACTTTATAGAGCAAACCCTTGTGGTTATACTGTGAGTGAGTACAGCTAGGATCAACCAAGAAGATAATAAGTCTAGCTGTTTAGGTACTATTAGTCCAAGTCCCGTAGTGGTCATAGAACGACCTCAGGTAGGTGAGGGATCTGGATCTGGGGTCTTGGTTGCCCACTGACATGACTAATGCCTATCTAGGCCAAGTGTTATTAATAATCTCACCCCTTGGGCTGGTGAGATAGCTAGGTGGTCTAAGCACCTGCCTGGCAAGTACAAGGACCCTGGTTCAATGCCCAACACTGCATGCCATGCTGGCCCTGGAACCCTGAGCATGCAGTGCTGGCCCCAAAACCAGGCATGGTGGCACATACCTGTAATCTGAGTGCTGGGGAGGCTGAGACAGGAGGATCACTATGAGTCCAAGCAGCATAGAGAGACCCTCTACCAAATAAATAAATGAAAGAGTAAACAAAAAAAAAACGGGAAACAGGGAGCAAAAAAATTGGCCAAGTCATACCGACCCGAGAGAGGAGGGAGGGAAGTTTTTTTTTTTTTTTTTATTGTTACCTTGAGGCCTGGCCTCCATCCAGTGTTTCTCTGGCCACGGCTATAGTGGTCTTGCACCTTTTGTCCTGACTCCCTTAAGGGCCCAGCCTTGTCCAGCTGCCTAAAATATTTCTACCTAATTCAGCTATCTATAACACATATATAGCTCAGTCCAATAGTTTTCCAGAAAGTTTGGGGTAAGTACAAAACTACTTATTAACAAACTTGAAATGATTAAGTATCATGAGTGATAGTTATAGCTTATGATTGAAGAAAATAAGAAGCACTTCAGTGACTAACTGAAAACTTGTTTCTTTTCTTTTTTCTTTCTTTCTTTCTTTCTTTCTTTCTTTCTTTTTTTTTGGTGGAACCAGGGATTGAACTCAGGCCCTTGCGCTTGCCAGGGAAGCGCTTATTCCACTGAGCCATCTCCCCGGCTCCTAAAACTTGTTTCTTAAATCAGTAAAGATAAGTAGATATTGTGTCCAAACCAAAACTACGTACGCTAAAGTTTCTCATGTAATACAGTAATTACTCCTCATGCACAACTTTGCTTTCTGCATTTTATTATCCACAATGAATTATGATCTGAGTTTACCATTATAGTTTTTAAAAATTTGAAAATTTGAGACAAAAATCTGCTAAGTTGCCTACACCAGCTCTAAACTCACAGTCCTCTCAGCTTACCCGCCTGTGCAACTGGGTTTATATAGTTGTCACCATGTCCAGCTGTCTAGAAATGTTAGGCAGACTATTCCAGAAATAAATAATTTGTACATCTGTAATTGCACAGCATGCCAAGAAGGATGATGAAACTTCAAGCCATCCTGCTCTCTTGCACCTGGGCTATGAATCACACCTTTTTTGGCACTTCCACACTCTACATCTATGCGGCAGTCAGCCAAGTTGTGGCCATTTCCCTGTCAGCTTGTCAGAACACCACAGTGCTTGTGTTCCAGTAACCTTTATGTGTTAGCCTCGTGCTGTACTGCAGCGCCTACATTCTTTCACCTCAGCTCGTGTAGGCGTTGTACCATATCACATAGCCGTGAGCGAATGAAAGATTAGTGTAGCACGTGGAGGTATTCTAAGAGAGCACATATTCATGTAACTTTTATTACTGCATCTTTTATTGTTGTCCTGCTTTATTAATAGTTATTATTAATCTATTCCTGTATGTCTTAGTTACTTTTCTCTTGCTACTGAGACAAAATATTGGACACCCGAAGGTAAAAGGAGAAAGGTTTCTTTAGCTCACAGTTTGTAGAGGTTTCAGTCCCCTTCTGAAATTGGCTAGCTTCAAGGCAGGGTGGCATTGCAGGGGAGAAGCCATTAATGGTGGGCTGGAGGTAGCAAAGCAACAGGGAATGACTAGAACTCTTTCTATCTCGTCTATCCTAGCCAGGCTACTTACAGGAAGAGACACTCACACTCTTAATCCTAGTACCCTGATCTTAACGTTGCATTTCAAATCAATTATAGCACCACACACTCTAGATCCAGCTGCTTCTGAAACCCCCCACCAGCTATGATGGCATGAGGCTTTGGGGGACATCTAAACCCAAACCATAGCAGTGTGCCTAATTTGTCGATTACATCTTATCACGGGTAAGTATATATAGGAAAATATAGTATCTGTAGGGCTTAATACTGTGATTTTGACACATCTCCAGAGATTTTGGAACATGTCCTGTGTGAGTAAGAGAATACTATAGTATTACTTCAGAAAAAAATTTTAGAGTTAATTGAGGAAAAGAAGATGGGAGAAACTAATAAATAAAGTACCTTTTCTCACAGGGGCCAGGGAGATGGCTCAGTGGAATAAGCACTTCCCTGGCAAGTGCAAGGGTCTGAGTTCAATCCCCTGTTCCACCAAAAAAAAAAAAAAAAAAAAAGAAGTACCTTTTCTCTAACATCTCAGTTTTATTATAACTGGCCGTCCAAACCCATATAGGAAAAATAACTCTTCTAAGAGAGTAGTGGCCTCTGATTCTGATAAGAGTGGATCAAAATTAGATCAAGATTACCTTTCAAAGGGCTGGCCAAATAGCTCAGTGCATTAAAGCATCTGCAAGCAGGTGCAGGGGCTGGGGGTTCAATCCCCACCCCCAGGGTGCGCTGAGATGGCAATTGAGATGTCGTGGTAGCGTGTGCCTGTAATCCCAGCTCTTGGGAGGCTGTAAACAGGTAGATCACTACAAGTTTGACCTAGTAATGAGACCCTGAACACACTGTAGACCCTTCCTAAGAATACAAAACCAAAGATTACCTTTCAGCAGCTGGCAGTTGTATGTGCTGAGGTTCCCGGCTGACTGCAGTTGCAGCCAATCTCCTTCTGGGTGGTAGCTGGCGTTTACAACTTCAAACAACTCATAGGGAGGGATCAGGACTTCCTTCTGGAGGGAAAAGTCTTGTACAGATGCACCCAGGCAGGTAAGTATGGTAAAGAGTGTTTTTGTTCCAAACTTTTGTGCCTCTTCTCTTAGAAACGAGGTGGAGAGGAACTGGCCAAATCGAATAGTGTCACCTACGTTGGCTACCGGATGGTCGTCTTTCATGCCATAGTATACCTCGTAACACAGAGTGTGACCCTCGCTGCTGAGCTCTGTCCTCAGCAGCTGGATTGCTGAGGTCAGGTAGTAGTGTAGAAATTTGAAATGGAATGAACGTTTGTACTGCTGTGCGGCAGCGCTGGCCATGGCCCTGGAGAAGTCAGAGCGCATGTGGTCATTCAGTGTGTAAACCAAGAGGGCCACAGCATGTGCTGTTGTCATGTTGGTGGGGAGAGCTTTACCTTCATCCAGGTAGAGTAAGTGGGCTTTTCTCCATGCCTCAAAGTAATTTTTATGGGCATCTATTTCCTTTGAGAAATAATCTCCTTCATTTAGCTTGCCCATGACCTGTTCGCTACAACCTTGGTATTGATCATCAAAGGAGCCTGGTGTGAGGTCAAATTTGACTTGAATTGCAACCTGCAAGTAAGAAAAGACCTTGATTTTAATGCTTCAAATCACATGATAAATGTGGCAGCAGATTTCCTACGTTCTATAAAGCCAAGTCTTTCCCTCAAACCCAATGTCTGTTGAAGTTTTACTCAAAATCATTTCTACATCAGTGAGCTGTGCTATGCATTGAATTTAGTTTGATAAATAACTGAAAGTTGAAAATATTCATCTTCCCAGGGAGTAAGTAAATGTTTTGTGTCCCCCAAATCCTAGTGTTTTTGCATGCTACCTATTTGGAAGAAAAGGTTCATAATCTTAGAGTTTAATTATACTTTCTGCTTCCTCTGTTCCCACCTTGCATTCACTCCACACATCTGTAGGTCTGATGGTGAGTAGCCATGTTTAGAACGCAGTGCCAAGGGAGTAGGCTTACAAGCAGCTGTGGACCCCAGATACGATGCTTTTCGTGCAGGGAAAGAGAACTCATTCTCTTTGTCACAGGCTGACTCCCAGAAGGAAAGGTGCATGCTCTGTGTACTCAGCATACGCGGTCATTCTTCCTAGCAGCAGAGTAGTTTGTCCAAGTCCAGAGAAGGAGAGTAAGGGAAAGTTTGGAAAGCCACCAAGAATGTTCTGTGGAAAGTCCCTCTTCTTGAGAAAAGACAATTTTTTTTTTTGAAATGAGAAATTAGTTGAATATTACTTTTTTGCATTAGTCTGTGTAAAGCTGAAGCTAGAGGTTTACTGGGTAAGAAGAGTTCATCATTTAAAACTATTTGAATTATTTCAATATTAAATTCAAATACGTGTTTCTTGACCAAAAATAATGCCTCTCTAATAAACAATCTTTTTTTGTAAACAGTAGAGCTTTATAAAAATACAAAGTTATGTACTTTCGAATGCCTACTCCAATAAAATGCTTATTCAGTTTAATAAAATGTCTTTAAAATATTTTAACAATGTACAAATACATTCATAAATAATCTGACAATCAAGATTCCAACTAAGTTTATAGTACCCACAACAGAATTTATAGGTGCCTACAACAGTTTGTAGATTGATTTAGTTACATATATTGCTTTAAGAAATACCATTAGGGGGCCTTCCATTAACTCAGCCGTTTAAGTGCTTGCTTAAGCAAAGACAGTCAGGCTCAGGATACTGTGGTTTGATACCCAGATCCTCATGCCTTACCAGACCTGCCCTTAAGGCCTCCTGAGCCAGCCAAAAAACAAAACAAAACAAAACAAAACAAAACAAAACAAAACAAAACAAAACAACCTTTTGAACTTTAAAAAAAAAAGAAAGAAAAAAATACCATTAATACAAATGTACAGTTTTTAATATCCTCATTATAACAGAAAAAATAGATTCATAGAACAAAATGTGTTTTAGGCACTTTTCTTCTTCTTTTTTTGTATTTTAGGGAAGGGTCTACAGGGTGTTTAGGGTCTCACTAGTACATACGAGGCATAGTGATCCGCCTGTTTACAGCCTCCCAAGAGCTGGGATTACAGGCGTGCACCACCATGCCCAGTCTCAACTGCTGTCTCAGAATATTAGTCTTACAATAATGAGGATAATCTTTTACATATTTGGCATAACAGGGCCAGCTAGATAGCTCAGTGGATTAAAGCGCCTGCTTAAGCAGAGGCAGGGGCCCAGGTTCAATCCCCAGCATTCCCCCAACCCCTGTGCTTGTTTGCAGGTGTTTTAATCCACTGAGCTATTTGGCCAACCCCATCTAGGCATTTGTTATGCCAATTTTTTTTTTTTTTTTTTTAAACGTATTTAGTACAGGGTCTACAGGGCCTCACTACACAAATCAGACACATAGTGAAACTTCCTGTTTTTCAGCCTCCCAAGCACTGGGATTACAGGTGTGCGCCATCACACCTAGTCTGAATTGCCATCTCAGCACACCTCAGAGGTGGGGTCAGCATTGCATGCTGGGGATTGAACCTGGGCCCCTGCATCTTAAGCAGGCGCTTTAATCCGCTGAGCTATCTAGCTGGCCCTGTTATGCCAAATATGTAAAAGATTATCCTCATTATTGTAAGACCAATATTCTGTTGATGGTAAAACTATATCTTTCACATTCACGTCTTGTTCATTAAAAGGCAAAATTCTCTCCATTCGAAAAGATATTGAGACTGGAACCCAAAGACACACACTTGATACTTTTACTCCATGATTTATGGTGACATCTTGTGTGGTTATGTATTAAGCACAGTCTTTGAGACTGATTAAATGATCTTAACCAGTAATTCCTAAGAACAGATTTAAAAGTAGGTCTCAGAGTCTATGCAAATTAGCCAAACCAAACCCAAAATCCCATTTTTGTCAAAACTGTAATGAACTCCAAAATTTTGTTAAAAATTCCTGGATGTCAAATATGTAGTTGTCTCTTAACATTAGATTTTCAAGATATAGATCTTTAAATTAAAAAAAAAACTTATAAATGGAATTGATCCATATGTTATAGTTTAAAGTCAAATTGACTTGGTTTATTTTGCATTGTATGTCTTATAGAAGCAGCTTTTTTTTTTTTTTTTTTTTGGTGGAACTGGGGATTGAACTCAGGCCCTTGCACTTACCAGGGAAGCGCTTATTCCACTGAGCCATCTCTCTGGCCCCTTTGTATTTTTAATTATTATGGAGAATCAAGAAAATAATCCTATTCCACTATCTTCCATAATGGTAAATAAAGTGTAAAGAATTGTAAAGTTCTAGTAATTTTTTGGTAACTGTCGACATCCTTCACTAACACAATTTGCTGAAATGTCTGAATGAAATGAAAGCCCTAATGGCTATGGTTTGGGCTAGAGATGGCAAAGCTTTTAGAGACCGAGTGCCCCAAGGGGGCAACCCAAAACCCACTTGCCTATTGCAAAGTGCCAACACTACAATTAAACCTAAATTCTGAATTTTAGTTTAGGGAAAAACAAAACAAAATAAAACCTGCAACTCATATATGAAGATTTTTGTCTTGCAAGGAACCCAAATAACATGCATGCCATCGATTGGCCTGCAATGGTTTGGGCCATTTGGAAGTTGTCACCAGGTGACCATCCTGTTTAAACAAGGGAATCACAGGCAGACCAACTCCTCAACGACCCCCCTACCTCAGCGGCGCACTCCGTGGGTGTCTGCAGGCCACAGAGCAGCAGCAGGAGAGTCAGCTGCCCCCCTCGGAGTCTCATCCTCATTGCAGGGCCGGCAGTAGCGGGAAGAAGAATCCTGCTGTATCTGCTGATCCACAGACAAATTCTGTTCCTGTTACAAGTGCTGCTTTTTCTTTGAAGCTTCATCCTGAAATGAGCCCTCAGACTTCTCTGTTTTCACTGAGTGACTCTTAGCAGGAACCTTCTTTGAGTCTGTCTGTGTCGAGACTTCTGTTGACTACCAGCAACTCAGAGCATTCCAGAAGGCAGAAATCAGCTCTGGGCTGCGTTAGCAATTGAAATTTCCGCAAGATACCCGGATGTACACACCAGATAAGGATTTATATAATGATCCAAGTTAGCTTCCAATTGGCAAAAGAAAGCAACCCTTAATCTAGTCTGTATACAGGGGAATGCCCAAGGCGTGTTCTGGGTCAGGCCCTGCCGCTCAGCTTTGACGTTTCCAGAAAGTCAGGAAAAGGCCTGCTGTGGACTGCATTTGGAACCAAGAGGCATTATCTTGAGCCCCAGGCTTTCACTGTGAGCTGTAAGATTGGTTCGTGCATGGTAGCTGCGATGATGCTATCGAAAGGTGGGCCTGTGTCAGCTCATCTGGTGCAGCGGAGAGGCCCTGGCTGGGACGTGCTGGCACAAAGCAACATGCCTTTTGGTGATGTTGGCAAAAAGAAGTCCCTTTTTTTTCTGCTTTTCTGTGGCATATTTGCAATTCCAATTCAGAGACTGTAGCTGTTGGATTTAAAGCTCTTTCCATTTTCTCTTCTGGAAACATTAGGTCCTGCATATTTTACTCTATTTCTGCCTACAGTAAATCCTAATGATTGTCAGTAAACTACCTATGTATAGCTGACATAAATCCAAAAGAGGAATCAGTGTGCAAAAAAGATATTCTAATACAGGTGTCCTATTAAGCCCTCTCAGGCACCTCTTTGTAGTCTGAATATTTTTCCTCTATTTGCAACCCTTGGAATACTAGGGTTCTATTTTACAAATATTTTCCATTTATACTTCTTGATTCATTATCTTACTATTAAAAGAAACTATATGGTATTCTTAAAAATTTTTGCTACTGTGCCAGTGAGGTAGCTCAGCAGACTAAGTACCTGCTTAGGCAAGTGCAGGGACCAGGGTTTGATCCCTGGCACCACATAACATGTTGCCTCCGCCCCACCCCTGAGTGCTCAGAGCCAGCACCGAGAGCAGGTGTGATAGTGTGCACCTGTAATCCCAGCACTGGGGAGGCTAAAACAGGGGATCACTATGAGTCTGACCTGTGTAATGAGACCCTGAACCAAATATATATATGTATATATATATGAAAAATCTGTTGTTTTTTTCCAGAAAGCTACAATTTTTTATTTTAAATTTTTTGGCCAACACAATGGTGTTGTCTCATTAGCAAAAGTTCAGACTATCTAAGGAAACATAAAGGAGAAAATAAGTATACTTATAACCTATTATGGTGGGAAAGCCATTGTTTAGATTCACATTTTGGCTTTACTTACATATACATTTCAATACCCAGCTAATGTGATATATAGTTTTATACTTCTTTTCCTCCTAACATTTTAACATAGAATGTTCCCATGTGTTTTGCACTTATTAGAACATAATTTTCTTGTGCAACACAATAGCCTACCATGTAGGTGCTACCAGGCAATGAGGTAGCACAGGCGGATCCCTGGGCTGCACTCTCTCAGAACACTCATTAATGATGAGAACATGGGCTCTTGAGAAAGCTATCTTCTCTCACTTCCTTAATAACTGGAGTAACCTCTTTACGTCCCTGTTCCTCAGTGTCCTCGTATGTTAAATATCAACAATGGTTGTACCTGCCTCAATGAAGTGGTGATGGGCTTCTGACCCTTAGAACAACATCTGTGGCCAGGTTGTTTAATAAATGGAAACAATTAGCATTATGTCTTCCAGTTTATGTAATAACCATCATATACTTAGCTTGTTTTCAGCTTCATGTCATAACACTTAACGATGTGTGTTATAATTTCAACATAAATCTTTTTCCTAATTTTTAAGACACAATTCTAAAAAACTAATCATGGGTCATAGGGATGCAACCTTGTGGATTTAATAGCAAACAGGAGCATTGTGTGAAGGTAGCCTTTAATGCTAAAAATTATTAATATTTCTCAGTGTCAGCTGTTACTTTGGGAGATGAAGTATCATCGTCTGAATTTCTGAAGTATTATGGATCTTGTTCTATTTCTAATGCTGGATGAATTAGCCTAAAATTGAAGTTATTTGGGCTGGCCAGATAGCTTAGCGGATTAAAGCACCTGCTTAGGCAGATGCAGGGATTGGGGGTTTGATCCCTAGCATGCAATGCCAGCCCCGCCCCTGGAGGTGTGCTGAGATTGTGATTGAAACTGGGCATGGTGGTGTGAGCCTGTAATCCCAGCGCTTAGGAGGCTGAAAACAGGAGGATCTCTATGAGTCTGATCTGTGTAGTGAGACTCTATAGATCCTGTAATTTAAAAAAAAAATGAAGTTGTGTTGAGCCACAGTTTCCTTAACTTTATAGAGCTTGAAAAATTAGGTAAGTAGCAATTTTATTTCACTGCTTCAGGATTGATTGATTGATGCAGGGTCTTGCTGTGCAGCTTGGACTAGTGTGGCTGTTGTACCCTTCAGATTGCTGGGAAAAGGGAATGAGTTTATTCAAAAGGCAAAAGTTACTGAGTTGAGGAGGACAAGAGAGGGAGTGGGGGAAAGAGATTTATTTATGTATATAAGTAAGCCGGATGACTTGGACAACTGTACTGTGCATTTCTACTGGTCTATGGAAAGGGGAAGATAATGCTTTAATTTGTTTCATCTCTTTTTTCAATTGTTTATCCTTTTTGTCGTTTTAATTTCTTATACGTTTCTTTTTTCTTCCTATTTTACACGAATATATCTGATAATATGAATAACTGGTTGGAAGACAGCACTATGTATTGCAACAAATACTGTGAAATTCATATTACTTTGTTAAGTGAAAATTTATATTACTTGCATTTTTTTTTTTCTGTTTTAATTCTAATTTGTATTCTTTAAAAAAAAAGGGGCATTTGAAATTTTTCCTAACAGGACCACCACTTCCACAACAAGGCCACTAGAGGGCAGCATGGAAGTTTGTAATCTTTTAATGCCACTCCTTTGGAAAGAAAACAAGTGGGGGAGTAGAGAAAGGCCTGCTATCTGGCGTGTATGGAGATGAAAGAAATGTTTTCTCATAATGTTTAGCACCACTGAAAATGGCTTTTGAAGAACAAAAACTCATAGAAAATCCATTACAGTAGTAATAGTGAAACTTTATATTTTTTTAGGTAGCTGTCTAAGAAGTTTTGCTAATTTTTAAACCTACTTTCTAGATTAAATTCTAAGTATTCTAGACTGATTTTTTTTTTTTTTTTTTTTTTTTTGGTGCAGGGTCTCACACACAGCCCAGACTTGTAGTGCTCCTCCTGATTTCTGCCTCCCTAGTGCGGGGATTACAGGCGCACCCACCACGCCCAGACTCCATTCACGGGCTCAGTGCAGGGGGCAGGGGTGGGTTGTGCGGCATGTAGAGCCAGGGATTGAACCTGGCCCCTGCACTTACCTAAGCAGGTGTTTATTAGTCCATTGACCTACACTGCTGGCCCTTCTAGGCTAGCTTTCTACGGCGCCTTTCTGAGCTTAAGGGAAGTAGCTATGGGAGGGCCTTACCCAGGAAGGAAATGTACGTTTTGCCGTTAGCCTGCAGGTCTGACAGTGGCTCTTAGCAGTTCCTGCTGGGATCTTGGATTCCTTTGGATCTGTGTCACCATAATGGGGCTATTCTGCTCCCTCCTTAGTCACAGAGAAGCAAGATGCTTCATAGCTTAGTAATCAGAGCCGTTTGAAATTACCTGCGTTTTCTTCCTTTACCCTCACCAAGTTGCAGAAGTGAGAAAAGCTCCCTCAGTTCTTTTATGTATCAACCTGAATCTCCCCCTCTACAGTTTTGACAGAACATCATATGTTCCATATATGACACATACAACCTTTGACATTCAGTGTTTGTTGAATGAATGAAGGTTTCCAAATTTCAGTAACTGGACATGATGCATCACTTGAGGAAATCCATTCATTCTGGGACTGATCGGACAGATTTCCTCTTGGTCCACGAGGAGTCTCAAGACCCAAATGCACAGGCGGACATTTTCCAAGGACCACAACCATGTCTATCCATGGTTCTGGTTGTAACGGGCAGCAGAAGATCCAACATAACTTTGGGATCATTCCACCTCTTCCACGGAGCAGAGTTATCAAGAATTCCTAATGAACGAGTAACCATTTGACTTGATCTGTTTTCTGATAGTATAATTGGACACCGCAGCGTATGAAAGATTTATAAAGAATACAGACTGACTTAGCTCCTGGTTCTAGAAGCCGGGAAGTCCAGGAGCATGGGCACGTGTCGGGAGAGGCTTTGTTTCTTCTGCATCATGATGTGGCAGAGGGGAACGTGTGAGACACAGGTCTCCTGTCCTTTGCTTACACAGCCACTAAGGCTGTCACGGGTGTCCCAGCATCCTCATCTCATGTCATCCCAACTGTTAATTTACAAAGACCGCACCTTTAAATACCACTGATAGATGACTATGAGCATTAAGTTTCTCACGCATCAGTTTTTGGAAGACATATTCAAACCACAGCACCATTTATTTGTGTGGTTTTAAATTCCATATCTGCAGAGCATGAGCTCTGTGTTCAATCTGGGGGTACAACAACCACTGATCAGATAGGGCTTCAGCCCCTGAGCTTAGATCCCAGCAGCTTTGAAGGTCTGCTCGTAGACATCAGGGGTACACGACTTAGGAAGAGATGCTGGTACAAATTTCACTTCCCAAAACAAATGCAAACAGAGAATACAAGTCAGATTAATTAGCTAAAGGACAGAGTAAGAATTGAGGGGTAGTTCTAAAACTGTGGCAGATGGAAGATTCAAAACTTTCAAGACATAGGACTGAGACTGTTGGAAGTTATTTATAATTCCAGAAAGGGACTGTGGCCCCAGAGAAATCAGAGACAAGGTTCCAGCATGGAGGAATCAGCTATTAAGACCCAGCATCCAACACGAGGCGCTGGCCTGGGTCCTTAGGAGGTGCTCATGCGAGACTACGTAAGATGCAGGCTGAACATGGAAAAAGACAAAGGCTTTCAAAGGTGGAATGAATGGGGGTGTCCAGCCAGGAGAAAGCAGGGTGGCCAAGATGGGGGTGACAGGGAGCCACGC